ATCCGGGCCAAAATTCCCGAGATCGCTCTTCTCGATCTTGGCCAACTATCCAAGATCGGTCTTCAATGTCCTTGTAGCACGCGTGCCTCAAACCGTCGCGGAAGCCAAAGAAATCTTGCCCGGAAGAGAGGGGGAACGCGCGTCGTCAGCAGAAGAAGTAGAGTTCAAGTCTGTTTTATTAACCAACAGAAAGACTAGCCAACCCATCTTTAAGCCTATTCCCAACTATAGGTCACCCTCCAAGTCGATGACACCTTTAAGCTTGACCGCCCCTTGAACACGTGTCGAAATTTCGTGACATGTACTTCAAAGACAGCGTCGATATTCCCGATATCGTGCCTAAATGCCCAAAAGAGACCAAATCCCAAATACGGTACCAAATCCCCATTTTTTGGTACCAAAAGGTCCGAAATAGTACTTAAGTGCCAAATGTGACTAAATCAATTTTGCGACGTCAGTTCAACCGGCTTCCACTGGCTCTTTTGGTCCGTACTTTTGCGACATCACTCATTGACCTTCAATAAACATATTAATCCTGATCCCAAAGTCTCAGTAGCGATATATCCATAATCAATAGGAACATGACCGATCTGGGGCCCAAGTTCGAGATCGTTGAGATCGACACGGTACAATTCAGCAGTAGATGTTCTTCTGTTCATTGTACGTGCTCGAATATCACCCTTCAGGGTTTATCTGGTCCACGAGACTCTCCACATAGCTCCCTGGACCTCCACGAGTATCCACGTTTCCAGATCGGGCTATAATTAACCCAAATCAGTACTTCCATTGTGAGATCGGTAAAGAGTATTACCGATCTGCAGGATGTTACACCTTCGTCCCAGAGTCATATCGCATCGCATCACCTGGTACCAGATGCATCTTTCCAGAATGACTTGGCCACAATATCCACGACCGTTGCTATACGTATCCTTCTCCTCGACCAACATTCAGGTAAATTGAATGACTTCGTCCCACTTCCTCGTCCCAGATCGCTCCATGGGAATCGTTCTATTTGTCGTCTTGCCCCAAATCGCTCTGTCCCCGGTCGTTCCATATCCATCAGTCTGGCGACAGTTGGATCGGATCGCCGATCCCCGTTGAGATCGCTTTGCATCTCCTTATTGGATTGATAGGTCCCTTGATATCATTTTCCACCAGTTAGTGACACCCCAACTGAATGGCCACCGATCCACGTCCTATCGTTTGATCCGTGACTCTAACACACTAGTATATACTTTAATATAGATATACTTATGAATACAGCAAAGTAAGTTAAAGGCTTTACTATCCTGCATACATCTCTCTTTTTGCATTAAATGATTGCATATTCTTTCTCTTTCATAGAAGAAAGTGCGGTTGTCATGCATATGCCTGCTGTTATGAATAACTATCCGCTTATATTATCTCAGAAAGAGGAATTTACACCAATCAAAATGTAGAATTCTCTTTCTAAGCTCATGTAAGTTACACGACCAGTTCAGTGCACGATTTTAATTCAGTTCAATATTTTATCTAGTACCGCATATTAAACGAATAATACACGTATAAACAACATGGTAAAGCCGATGTAGCGGCGGTTGTTAAATACATTGTCCTTCTTTATAACGTTATTGACAAAATTCTGCGAGATGAAAAAATCAGTTAAATTTGGGCCCATTTAACAGGGTACCGGGTTAGAGCGCGACTACTGGCCGGTTGCTTCTGCTAGCATTTCTTAGTAACCAGCCTGTCTGCGATGTCGATCGTTTCTCTAAGCTTCTTCTGCTTGTGTACAGGCTCTGAAGGGATACTAAGGGTTGCATTCTATACTAAGATGACCACAATTGGGCGGCATATAAGTCAGGAATGCATGCCAAAGTCGTCTCTCACTTCCCTATCTCGATACTCGACGAGACGCTTGTTGATTTGAATAACAAAGAGGGTATAGACCAGTACCCCGGACGCCCCAAATCGCATTACTGGATTTCTCAAGGATAGCAATGCGGTATAAATATCTTGCAATCTCAATGGCTGTCTGTTTAAAACAGCGCTAAGTTCGTCGTTTTGTACATTGAAGCTATTTAAGCTCGCGAAAGTTTTATAAATCAGCTAGCAGACGGTCACGTCAATCAGCTAGAAGACGTGAGTCGCGTTTTCAGATAAGGCGATCATCATGATGCCATGCTCGTATCAGAAGATTACTAAATTAAAAAAAACACGGTTGATGTGATTATGATAAATAACATAAAGACAGAAAGGCTTTGCAGAATTTACCAATATTCACATGCGTGGAAATGTTTTACAAGATCAACATGAATATTTTATGAATAAACTGGGCTTCCAGCACGATCAAGAGAATCTCAAACGAGTCCTTGAAGATCTTGGCAGCATTGAATATCCAGGCGAACCTAGGACGAGCGCGCCGTCGATTTCGAGCTCTTTGAGCTATGTCTTAATCAGGAGAACTCCATGGGTCATGGTTAGGTACGGGAAAGAGATACCAGATGCAATAACGGCCGCCACGTAGGAAATGTGGTAGTTGGAATTGATCTTCTGTGTCTACAAGCTCTAGAGCCTTTGATGGCAATGACGGTGCGGGTCGTAAGCTTCATCTTAAATGAAGTTTTGTCTATGTTAGAGGCCCACTACGGTCGATCCTATTTCAATGAGCAGCTTCGCCATCGTGTTGAAAATAGCGTGGACCTACGACTTTTTTAAGGCGTTTCGCACTCTCTGATGCCCTGCGCTGTGCGTGGTACGAGCACTAAGTGGAGACCGAGAAAGCGCGTGTACCATCCAGACGTCAGATGTATCTGCTAGTTAGCTCTTGTGCGCTCCTGCAGCGCGTCATAGATCATCGTTGTGCGCTTCAGGATGTCTTTTCGGGCAACAGGCGGGCCCAAGGGCTGCATGGCGGCAATCCACTCCACCAGGTGTCTCTTTGAATCTGCTGATATTGCAGGCTTTGTGCCGCGGCGTAGCCCTTCATTCGGGATCCCGCTTTGCAAATCCCTCTCCCTCTTGAACACTATACGTAGATAAGTAGAAAAATTCTGCGCGATCTGGGCGTACGATCACATTTGTTTACTCTCTCCCGACGTCTAGCTTCTCGGAGAGCCCGCGTCGCCTTATTATCTGCCTTCTTAATTTAATTTTCTTTTTAAATGGAAGTAAGTGCCCTCTTACTTACAATCCTTTTTAATCGATAAATTCACCTCGTACACAGCGGAACGTGAAATGAACCAATTCAACTCCTATCTGCCAATCAAATTGTTTAGGTTCGAAATATCGAGATTCCATTGGACAGTAATCAGCTTCGTGCACTGAAGCAATACTGTGCACGAAACTGTTTGTCCACTTTACTATATAGGTCAACAATTATAATGGTAGATACCTGCTGACCACCTATTGCGCGCGTCTAGTAGCGATGTGTAAATTTGTAGACTGAAATGATGGCCTATATCAGTCAATAAGTGGAGCGGTGCTGAAAATATGCCTTTGTAGATAATATTATGCAATATTTTACTTAGCAAGATAATAATTTAGAATATATTCAATGGATCTACAATCATGACTCTATTTTATATCGATTACATGTATTGGACTCACCTGTTTTCACTTACACTGGCGTCATTATCGATGCTGAGATTAGCATAAGTGTACATTTCACGATAAGCTACAGAAGATGGGCAAGCATCATTGTAGGTACGAGCTTGAAGCGTCCCCGCACTTTTTTGTCGTCCATAGTGTAACGGGCTGATGCTGTTACATAAAAATTGTATACGAAAGTACCAATTTTTGAGCATTTTTCGATTTTGATAATATGTAATCGACAACACTCGAAAAATGATGTTGTCGGAATAATACCTCTAAGGGTAATATCCGTGGAGGGGTTCACTTCTTGGTTGATGTACCGTGTGCATCAACCAAATTAACCACCAATCGCTGCCGGACGCGCACAATGGGTGGTGTGCAGAAGACCCACATAGGAGACAGTAGTTTAATATAGTTAGTTTAAGACGAAAGATGGTTTAGTAAGAAAATATCTATATTAAAAAACAGTTTTACTTTTCCCTCAAGACAGAGACTTAAGGTTCTGTATTGTCTTGGTCGCGCTTCCTCACGCAACGTGTACGTGACGTCGGGCGTACTCACCCTTGTATCGTTATCAATGCAAGGCCTTGTTTAGTTACCTGAGGAAGAGCGTGCCCCGTTACACATAGTACAATGTCGACGGAAGTAGTCGCAATGGAAAAACAAGGCATAAATTATAGGTAGAGAGATACGCAAAATCAGGTGAACGATTTCTATTTCGTCTAACTTATTGTGTGCCGTTTACGTGATTCGTCTACTCCAATTGATTTGCTGAAGTATACGCAATTGTATGCTTTTGTCTCGTTGTACATTCTTTCCTTTTTTACAACAAAGTGTCAAATGACCTTGTCAAGCGCCTAATCTTCACAAGACTGCTTTTATATGTCGGTCTGGGTCTTACAAGATATTTAGCATGGATAAATTATACTTGCAAATGCGAGTGGAACGTGCCTCCGTAGAAAAAGTAGTACCGCCAGTTCACGACTTCGTACGTATCCGTTAATTTGTAAGGTCTTGAAAGACTTGCCTTCCAAATCTGCAGTTTATATAGCTGAAGCAATATTGTATACGATAATTGTCCGTCAACTGACGGACACCATCAGAGTGGTTGACTTACGTGGGCGTGAAGAGAACAATTACATTATGTAGCGAGAAGTTTTCGTTATTAGATAACAACAATTGCATCAGCTTATTGGACTAGAACACCCTATTAGTCGGTCTCTTTGGCTGGTCTACTGACCCATTGAGAGGAAGACTTGCACCGAGCATTCGGCGTCATGTCCATCCCCGTCGTAGCGGCGATTCGGCAGTCGGAATGCACTTTTCTCAATAAAATGCGAAAGATTGGTGCTGTACCTTGCATTTCCGTTCGTTGTTGACCGACAGATGCGTGTGCCAAACCATCGCATTGTGCCCCGCGAAACCTTTCAAACGGCCTTCCTTTTGGACATACTCTTCGACATTTTGTAGTTCTCTTCCAGCTCCCGCGACATGTCGCGTTCTTTCTTCTCCGCTGCAGCTGCCTGCTCCGATCTGTACGTGGTCACTACGTTGTCCCACCATGCCAAAAACTCGTTATGTGCTTTCCTATACGTGCTAACAACCTTGTCTCGAGTCCCCTTAAAGAAGCGTTTGACCGCTTTAATCTTGGCTCTGGTCTTGACGTTGGTGAACATCTCTTTCAGCCGCACTCCAAGATCCATTGTTCCCCTTTCTTCAGGAGGTCCGCCGTCAATGATTTTGTTCGCGCGCATCAAAGTCCGCTCGCCGTTCGTTACCAACTGAGCAGGCTGGCCCTGCTTCGGCACGGACACCCCGGTAAGCTCTTCGACTGTTGGAGCAGACGATGCGCCAGTCCCAGTCGACAAGACGAGCAGGAGCACGAGAAGTAGGAAGCACGCAGGTATTGTAGTACGCATCAGCATCGGTCAGCAGTAATGAGATAGATGGGATAAAACGTGGTGGGGAGACTAATGAAACTTGAGAAATGAGCGTAGTGTTTCCACGCACGTTGCCGCTGGCCAGTAAAGGAACCGTTCCATCGAGATTTGGGGCTCTTCCCTGAAGGTTCGTGGCTGATCTTTATGGACTAGTATTGGCCTCCTCGCTTTGACGAGCTGACCCAGGCTGTGTTGGTAAGAAAAACAAGCGCGGATCAGATAAGAATTCTCTTACTTTATTATAGCCAGTCCGTCCTTAATGTTGGGTTGCAGGTTGAAGATAAGTCACTTACTGCCCTTGTCTGTAGAAAAGATAAATCATGCCAGACAGGGTATTAGGTTATGGTGGTAAAGACACCAGAAGGTTCTTAGGAGTTCAGGATAACCCTTATCAGCTCATACGATTGGCTAGACTAAACCATATTAGGTGGTACAATATATTAGGTAGGAGGTGTTGGGGAGTCGCATGATTGCCCTCTCTTGCGGAACATCGGGCCAAAATCTTTCAATTAATAACAAGGGGATATTAGATATAATGGATTAGGTAAGAAGGGTTCTACTGTATTTGGATCGAACCATAATAAAGACAGGGGTAGCCAGACGCCGACCAGCATTCCGTCACACTTATGTTATTAATGTTCGAGATATCCAATTCTGGTCGGCCAGAAACGACGGGATCAGATTGCAGTTTCGTTGGGCGGTCTTATACTCTTAGAAACCGAACCTGAATACTCATCGAATTTTGCCAGGACTTGCTGCCTAAATGAAGACTATGAATCAAATTTACTGGACCATCGACTCCGTCATGCGTGCGCTAATAAACAGCGAGGAGCTTCTAGGAACAAAATCAAAACAATCAACGAATCCAGCCATTTCTTGCCTGCATCACTATAAACGATGTAGTGTATCTGCGCACGATCAAAGCATTGTATCAAGATCCCTAGTAAGAATTTACATCCTGACATAAATTTTAAAACATCACATAATTGTATGCTCGGCGCAACTACTAATAGTTCGTGTCTTTTGCGATATCTAACCACCCGGTGATCGCAACTCCTTCTTTCTCTCGCAACGTTGCACGCTTTCTCTACTTCCTCCAATCATTTCGTACGCAGATACCTTCTTTCGATAGTGACGCCTTGGATCATTACTTTATGTACACCCCGGTAATTGTCGACATCCACACGACGATCCGTTCACTCGCTGCTGATCCACTATCAAACTGCGATCAATCGGCCAAGCGTTGAAGATAGTTGCCGGCGAGATATGACTGTACAAAGTTTTGAAAAATTCTTATCATTACGTACATAGGTCTGATGCGCAACTTCTTTACTTTTGTCGAATAAGCAAAGTGTAGAAGCTTTCTACAATTCTACAGGATGATTGGGCGCGTGAGTTCACGTCCTGCAACTTCCTAGCCACATAACGAGATCAAGATTAGGCACAGACCATTCTTTTAACTGGACGAGTGCGCCCTTGCCCATGTCTTTGTCTACGCCACGCCCTTGTCTGCTTATCATTTGGCTTAAGAGTGATCAGCCAGCTCCGTTCGGGATATGAAAGGCATGAACCCCCAATAAAATCTGGCAACAAGCGACAATTGACGCAAGCGTTCGCCGTGCCGCTTCTTTTCATGTTCGAGCAACTACCCTTACTCGTTTCATCTTATCTTTCCGCGATGCAGTGCCACTCGGTCACACCGTTTGGATGGTGTCTGAAGAGGCTCAATTTTTTGTCCTTACCTGACATAAACCACTTGTTGCTTTGCAAACGAGCCGTGCCTCACAAATTGCTTGCGACACGTGAAAAAGGTACACCGCAGCGCAGGGAAATTGGCTCGAATCGAAAGATAGCAATCCGATCTACATTCGATTGTTGCTCTCAGCCGAGTCTATATGCAAGCCTGTTTTGTGGGTGCTGCGATGAAAGGATGTACGCCGCCAGCCGCAAATAATAACAGTGAAGCATCCAATGTGGCTATTGTGCCATCTGCATATTTTTGCGGAGATTCAGCATGTCTTGTCCAATCATTTATCCAAGTGCGAGATGATACGACTGGCAGGCGTAGATTATTGTTGAGGGCACGCGAATGCGTTAGCTATTCAAGTTATTCGAATGGGGTTAAGTTCAAAGATAGCAATGGATCGAGCTGCTTCTTCTTTCTACATTGTCTTCGAAAAAGCTTAAGCACTGCGCAAGTTGTTACATCATCATACTGATAGCTATCAATGCAGCCTTTTCGTTTTACATTCCATTTGTCACATCCGCGCCTTCTTATCATGCCGTTGGCTCTTACGCAAAGAGCTACTGCTTCATACTGCGCACGCTGCTTTTTCGCAACAGCTGCAATCCGTCAGACTAATACCTGCATGAATTCGTATGTATTAGAGTATGCCGCATACAAATGATGACATCGTTGCGATGGCCTTATGCGGTAATGATGTGGACAAGATTTGACAAGTGACCTGCCTACAAAGGTCTTGAGCACACCTAAAACAAATTTCCTCGCGAGAAAAGGTCGGCTAATTATATCATTATATACAAATTTTATGAACAATAGTTGCATCGCGTCCTCAAGCAGCCTAGAACTGATGCTAGTAATGACGCCTTTGTTGTAAACTTATCTCAGGTAATCGACGGTTCTGTTTCTTTAAATTTACTCACTTCGAACTTAGTCTGCGTCAGGTAATCGCCTCGCAGCTGCGAGTGTATGACACTTAATGACTTTAACAAAAAACGCCGACTGAACTATTCGTACAGTCACAACCAATGCACTGATAACTAGCATGAACGCATTCCTACTATTCTATCTGCACAAATATCGACAGACGAGATCGAACTTTTCTGACGCAGGGGTTCAGGCGGACGATCACACATCATGTATCATTATACCGTCGACCATTTAAATAATGATGATAGATACTGATGCCATCGATATGATCGAGACAACTACACCCCTTCTGCAACTTCACCAGATACTCGTGGTAATATAGTGAAGCTGCATTATATGTAGAATTTATTCGATGGAAAACCGCAGCGCATAATCCCAAGCAGTCCTCAACGGGAGTCGATAATGAAAGGCACATTGCATGTCCGCATTTTCGACCCTAACTTCAGCAAAAAATGCATATACCAAACGTCATGTCCAAAGACAGGTACGCCAGAGTGATGAGACCATTGAGCGAGATTGTTCGCAGAACGAGCGTGCTTTCAATTATTTTCTCATTTTTAGATCGGATACCATTTAGGCCAAAAACAAGTATTTTACCATTAAGACCTTAATTATTAGACATACCGCGCAGACGAAATTTTAGGTGCAATCGACGAAAATTTATATGACGCGAATGCCCAATACTACAAGGTATGGAGAGCAACGGTACGATGAAACAAATGGGAAAAAATATAACAGTATGCTTGCCAGCCAAGAAGTTCATAAGTATAATGATATTGTAAAACTACAATTTCTATATTCGACATTTTATGTATATGTTTTTTTTATAATTTGCTTAGTAATTACATAAAAAGTATGATCTTACTAACCGGCCACTTTAATTTATCTGTGTTGTTGTCGTCTGTTTGGTCTTTCATACCTCCTATCCAAGCTCATTATACATAATTGTTTGACAAACGCAATTAATTATAGAAATTATATCAATTATTACAGGGTAAATAGAAAGTAGTAAAATATACTTTGAAATCATAAAAATACAAAAAAATATCTAAACCTTCTATCCATTCGCAAAATTTTACACCCTCTTTAAATCAAATAACTATAGTCATTTTTAACAATATATGCTACGCTGCTACGTGGCAAACTATTGTTGTACCACCTTTCTACCTTTTGTTGGCCACACATCAGCACTTGTGGTTTTTGCGCACATCAGATGGAAAGCGGCGACGAGAAGCAGCAAACTAGCAGCTTCTTCGAATAAAGGTAATAAAGCAACAAAAGTGACATCATTCAAGCTGTACTTGAGTACAACTGACAGTGGGACCGGCCGTATCGTGTTGTTCCAAGTGATGAGCGACGCTTCAAGGTTGTGTGCCAACAAGATGACTTTTCGTTCGTGGTGTAGTTTGTCTTTTCACAAACATTTGGCCCTCCATCTAATTTTGTTTTGCACTTCTGTCAAGTTTCGAGATCAACCAAAGCGTCTCGTAGATATGCAACTGCGAAACGAATTGTTGTAAATCCTGCAGTCCGAGATATAGCTATTATTTATGTCATGAAAGTGACACCCGTGATGATCTAAATAAAGCTGTGGAATGTAGAGATTTTTGCCTCTCAAATGAACTGTATTTATGCGCTCAAAGATCAAAGCTCGAAGAATTCGGCATCGATATTGATTCATAAAACCTCAGACCATCATACATGGTTGAACTGAATGATCGAGGTCACGAAACGAAGCTTAAAATCGTGGATGATGAGTTCTTGCAATTGTGTATCAATTTATGAGTAGGGCAGCAAATTTATAAGCCATACAGCGAGCGTGGGATTTCCGTAGATAACACCTTCCCGAAGACTCTCATCAAATGGTGTCCTCCTGGTGGCTTACTTTTGCAATGGCAACAGCGAAAGTCAAATTGTTGGAGTCGGTTTTGTCTCGGTGGAGAATGAGAATGATGAGACTTGGTTTTTGAATTTCCTCCTCTCCCACCTCCAACCAACTCTAGCATTTGTGATATCGGATAAGTACAAGTACATATTTATGCGGTGCAAACAACTGTACCTGACGCCCCTCACTTTTTTTGCTTTCGGCATCTGATGTAAAAATTAATAAGAAGTACAAGTAGAAGAAGATGGAGAGATTGGAGTGGATTTTGGATCGCTCCCAGACAAAGATTGCGTACGATTAGGCGGAAGCGGACATCGTCAGCTCGAAGAAAAGTTCGTTGGCGTGACTTGTGAATATTATTCTTAAGAATTGGGCGACAGCTTACTCCCCATATTCAAGATAGAACGCCTTAACACCAAATTACGTAGA